TTTTGGATCATGAAGATTTGAATTATGAAGATTTTGTATGAAAGAATGTAATTTGTGCTGGAGTTGGCAGCACATGTACTAAAATTGGAATGATACAGAGAAGATTAGCATGGTCCCTGCACAAGGATGACATGCAAATTTGTGAAGTGTTCCAAAGTTGTACAAAAATGCAAATTATCTCACTAATGATTATTTTATGCTGTGATATATTTGGTTAAATATTAAAATTTACTTCATCACCTTTTTAAAATATGTGACTGCTAAAGAAATTTAAATTATATATGTAGCTTGCATTCTATTTCTATTGGCACACTCAGATACCTAACAGAGTCATACTTTTTCAGGACTGCAAACAAGATACTTTACCCAATTATCTTTCCATTGAAAATCTGCTGTATATTCTGATTCCTTTCCATCAATCGTGGTCATGATAGAGAGAAAACTAACTCTTCTTCCACAAGTAATATATCATCAGTTTATTATTTCACTTCTAAGTTTCTCTATACTATACTTGGTCATTTTCTCAATTAGATTATCAACAGTGTCCTGAAAGGACTTCATTCTTTCAACCTCTATTCATGATCCTGACACAGCATTCTATATAAACCTACTAAATTAAAATCCCTAAACATGTCACTATCTTTTGATACATATGAAATATAAATGTGTAAACATATATGTGTATACATATATGTCTATGTGTATATATGTGTGATATATATTCATATATATATATATGTATATGTATATATTCAATGGCTTCCACTGCATGCAAAACTATATCCAAATTACTTTTAACTTTTCTTTTTTTCTTTTTTAGGATTACAGTTGCAAGCCATCAGACCCAGTATAAAAATTTTTCTTAAATCAAGAAGAACCCATGCATTGAGTGTGATGGTACATATCTATAATCACAGCACTTGGGAGGCTGAGAGCAGGAGTATCACATGCTTGAGGTCAGCATGAGCTACATGGCAAGTCCAAGACCAGCTACTTAGGAAGACCCTGTTTCATAAAAACCATGGGCTGGTGATGTAACTCAGTGGTAGAGTGCTAGCCTATAATGTGCGCAATACATTGCATTTGATGCCCAGCACCACACACACACACACACACACACACACACACACACACGAGACTATATGTAAATATTCATATAATCACCTCAAAGTCAATTTTTCCTATTTTTTACAATGATCTATAAAAACTTACAATTAAATAGTCATATTTGATTTTTACAGAAAAAGTCTCTCAAGCTTAGTCTGTTACCATGTTCTCCATTGTACAAAGACTCAAATTATGGAAGGACTGAAAACTTACTGATGGATAAGAAAATTATGGGAAATTACCCAAAGCAAGTTACTTTTAAGAAAGACACTGGTTCACCTCAGTCACATACACAGTATGGTACAGACAACTTGAATTCAAATCCTGGCTCTGCTACTTATTAACATGGATCTCCCTGTCTCCGTTTTCTAATTATAAAATTGGACCCCTATCTCCTAATGGTTGTAAGGATAATGGAGAATACATATGAAATGCATATTTGTTGGCAAGCATCCAACAAATGCTCCTATTATTCTTAAAGTATTTCCCAATTTGATCTCTTCCAGGCTTATTCAAAAAGCTTTAAAAAATAAAGGGAAGAAAGCATTTTAGTTTGTTATATTAAATCCCTGCCTTCTGTAACTCCAAAAACTTTGGTTTTAATTTTCCTTTCATATTCTATAACCTGCTCAGTCCATTCTATTCATCTATAATAGAAAGCAACTTTTAGGAGCATGACTAACCAACCATTTTCACATAGGTCTATGTAAGTATTTTCACTTTTTAAAAGTTCATTCATAAATGCCCTTCATAAACCTAACTTTCATAAACTCCTATTTACTTTTTTAGCTTCTCTTTTAAAATAGTTATAGGTGGAAAACAGATGGAACTGGAAATCATTATATTAAGTAAAATAAGTCAGGCTAAGACAAATAGAACATGTTCTCATATGTGAAATCTAAACCTAAAATAAAATGAATAACAAGAATGCAAAACAAGGAGACTTTAAAGGTAGAAACCAGAGGAGGAGGGGAAGGCAAAAGGAGAGGATGAAGGGAAGGTAGGAACATAATCAAAGTACTTCATACACATGCATGAAAACAAAACAATGAAACCCACTAAAAATTATTTTTAAAAGAGGGAAGGACAAGAAAGAGCAATAGAAGGGGTGAATTTGAACAAAGTACATACATTATATGCATACATATGGAAATATCACAATGAAAGTCCTTTGTACAATTAATATACACAAATAAAAAAGAGAAAAAAAGAAAACAAGGTCCCACACCCTACAATATTAATACAGAACTCTCCAGGCAAGAAAAATTCACATGTGAAATAATTTATATTGGTTATAGGAATAATACTGGAAGAAAACAAGTATCATGCAACATATTAATGATACTTCCAAGTCAACAAAACACTTCCTCTTACAAAGTTTCATAACATAAAATACTGAACTCAGGACCTGATTACAGTAATACTGAGTAAATAAAAATCACAACTGATGTTTGCTGAACCTAACTAAACTAACCAAACTACTATAGATTATCTAGAGGAAAGGATACTTTAACAGAAAAGCACATTTAACTTAAACCCAAAGACCAAACCACAACAAAAGTAAGAGAAATATTCAAAGTGAAATTATTCACAAAATTTTAAAGGAAGATGTTAAGGACTGGTGAGTGGCTCAAATGATAGATGGCCTGCCTAGCAACCACGAGGCCAAATTCAAACTCCAATATTGCCAAAAAAAACCCCCAAAAAACAAAAAAATCAAAACTGAGAAAATATTGGTTTCACATATTTAAACATACTAAGAAAAAAAAAATCCAAATTAGACTAACAAAGTCTCAGAGCCCTGTATAAAAGTGTAATTACATAAGCCAGTTTCTCAAAAAGTTTGATTCAAGTTGTTTAACAATGGTCTCTGCTTTAAATTGTTGGATAACATTTTGATAATATTATATATTTTGACAATGTTTAAAAATTTCAGCTTTAGATTTAGTCAATAAACACTTTTCCATAAAGGCCAGAAAGTAAATGTCTTAGGCTTTTTAGGTCGCATACACATTTTTTTTCTTACATCTTTAAAAATGTTAACAGCCACTATAAAAACATGCCACAACCAGATGTGCCTTAGCCATAAGCCCAGCTTCATGCTACACATCTTTTTGTTTCTAGGTTAATTACACTGCTATTATTTTCTTCCTTAAAATATTTGCTCAAATGTTACTATCTCAAAGACTTCTCTGAACATGTTTCCACCTGTTCCTCTATAAAATGTAACATACTATACAATACATAGTGTATCACCTAATACACTTTCACTCATAGCTGACCTTTGGTCTTCCCCACCGAAGCATGTAAATTCTATGGAGATATTTTGTGGGTTTTTTTCTCACTGCACTTACATGATTCCAGACATATTAATAGGTTCTGGATAAATAAATATACATAGCCTTATACTTACATAAAATGATGGAGAAAATATATATGCTATGTGTAATAATTTCACAAGTAAAAAGGTGTTCAAGGACAAAACTGATAGTTTAAAGTTCTTTCAAACATCCATAAAACTTTTTAAATAAAGAAGAAAAAAAGGTTAAAAATTAAAGCACTTTCACAAGGCATCATGATGCATGACTATAATCCCAGCACTCTGAAGGCTGAGGCAGGATTTCAAGTTTTAAGTCCAGCCTGGGCTACATAGTGAGACCCCATCTCAAAAACAAAACAATTAAAGCACTTTCTACTATCCCTCAAAGTGAAGTTAGTTCTTACAGTCTAATTTAATCTAATTCTCTAGAAGTTTACCATTACTTTAGCTAATGTAATAACAAATTTGTTATAATTCCTAAATCCCTCTAGAGACCAGTTCTACTTTCTTTGATCTCAACTACACTTGTTCCCTGCCAGCTCAACTAGTCTGGCAACTTTAAAGTTTGGCAAAGCGTGGAGGAACAACTTTGCTGTTTCTATGACTCAATCTCCCAATATCCCATTTTGATAAATTTCTGAGTACCATGATCTCTGCCATTTTATTAAAGCAAGCAAAAGACTATTTTCTATTAAATGTTATGCTCCAAATACATTATATTCAGATTAGTCAGATTTGAAAGTTTTTTATAATTGCCTTATCTTAGTTTTTACCTCTAACCTTACAATAACCATGATTTACATACACATATTATGTGAAACATATTTACATATGATATATATGAAATAACTAGGAATTTAGTAAGCTCTATCGCCAAATTATGGTCACTCTATTTCTAAGCTTAAAAGCATTACAAATGCTTTTAAGTAGGAGATATTGAAGACAATATCTCCTACTGCTATCACTAGAAAACTGATTATCTCAATAAACCACAGTAATAAATATTAATGTGGGATTTAAATCATACTATACCATAGTAAGATATTATAAAATTAAACTACGAAACATTGCTGAAAGGCAATGCTTACAAAAATGTTTTTAAAAGCCTTTTATCCAAGTTATTCATCTATTTTACTTCTACATGGCTAAAATTCTACCCTTATCAGCCAAGCAACTTTGACCTCTAAAAGAAATCTTTAAAATCCAAGTCTATTTGTCAAAGGTCAAGACAACTCTATAGGCCAATTCTTTTCTTACACAATCCTGTACTTAAAAAAAAAAAAAAAGCTAAGGATGTAATTTGAAAAAAGCAGTAAACACCTTATTTTTAAAATTCTTCAACTGTTGTGTCCTAAGTGGTCATAACATAAAGTATGGTGAAACTAAAACAAGGCAAACCTCCTTCAATAGTGAGCATTTGTAAGAACCAAACTGATTCTCTTTTGTTGTTGTTCTTATAATCAGGTGACTCCCAAATTAAATCACTTTTACCACATATTCTGGAAAATAACACGGCCCAACACACCAACATGTCCCACTTATCTAGTTTAACGAGTAACATGACGTGAGAAACTGCACTGTGTAATTCCTTTATTTTCTGCATATTAGTGCTTTACCAACACTACAACCATAAAGAACACAATTCCAAGTACTGTACTTTTTAGTTTGGGGCGATCACAGTCTACAAACTCATTTACTTATATTAGACAAGATTAACCTCATTCAAAACTTACTGCAGTTTATAAATTCACATAAATACAGAAATTGATGCAATTAAACAAAAACTTTAGGATCTTATTTTTTTAATTCTGAAATCCTTACTTAGATCATAACTTTTTTGCAGACCATAAGCACCTGCTCCATAATCACCAATGTTATGACTCAATTTAACTACAATTATAAACCTTTTATACTCTTAAAGAAAATATAACTGAAAATTACAACTTCTTTCCAAAAGGTTTAGGGTTTTCCAAATTTCAGTTATTTGCAACCCCTGCCTCCCTTTTCAGGCAGACATTTCAAATAAACTAAAAATAACCATATCTCACCTGCAACATTCAGTAATAGCAATCACTTGATGTATAAAATTTTAACTATGCCCCCAGTTATTTTAAGACAAAAAAATGGCTGCCTAACAATCTGTCACAAGTTAGAAACACTACATTTAAGAATTAACATGAGGGTTTCAAGTTTCCTCCAGTTTAGGCATTTACATCTTTGTGCTTGTTTTGTTTCAGGATGTTACTATAGCATTGATATTTGTATAACCCATCTTTATGTACCCTAAATTGTAATCATCTAAAACACTAAGAATTACATTTATAGTGGAGCTTTGGGAATTCTAAAAGGCAACCAAGATGTTCTTAAATGTGTTTATCAGTCTCATTTTCAGAAATACTTCTACTAAAGAGAAAACTCAGAACTTCATACTTTAGTTGCATCTTGAATTCAAAAATCCCTCTGCACCAGTGGGAGCCTAAAACATAGCACCTTTTCCCATCTGTTTAAGTAAAATGTTTTCAGTTTTACTTTGAATACTTGATTTTTTTAGTCTTCTGCTTCTCATACATCTTTGGTAAAAGCTCCATTATACGATATGGCCAAAACATGAAGGACCAATACTGTCCAACTATACCATGATATCCGGCTCATTTTTAGTTTTCAGACACCCTCATTAACAAAATCACTCCACCTTTTCCTGTATACTGCCTTTGCAGTCTACATTTCTGAAATTCCCTACATTTAATTCCTTGAGGATCACTAAAATTAATCCTTAAGGCTATATAAGAACCAGATGCTGCTTCCCAATTCTAAATCAAGCATTAACATTTGGTTCAAAACATTATCATAGTGGTCTCAATCTAGTTACTGGTTCTAACCAGCTAATTTTAAGATGTAGCTATCACCAGTGAGCACACTGCTTACCCTTGAAGAAAAATAAGTTTACATTCATTGTCATCTGTAGGTTCTTTAATTCATCCTACTTCCCCTTTAATGGTCATCCCTCAAATCTACACATCATTCATTCATCACGTTTCTTTCCTTAAAGGAGATAGTATACTATTGAACCAACAGGGTATCTATTTGCATGAGTTAATCCTACAATCAAGCAAAATTAAATACCTTTTTTAAAATAAAACATCTTTTCCAGTGTTCTAATTCATGGAGATGTGGATCACTCATTTATAAAAAATTACGTATCTTCAGTTCTAATCAGTTGTTGTAATGTGAAAACAGGAATGTGTATTTTTCCAGCTAGGTAAAAGGTGCATATAATTTGAATCATTAAATGCTTTTTTAAGTGAACAAAGTTAAGTATTTCAGAAATTTTAAAACTGGTCTTAGACATTTGAAACAAGTTAATAATACCATATATTCCAGTTTTGCCCAAGTCACTTAAAATATCTACAAGTATTTCATCTGTGTGGCATACACCATTATTGCTCCATTTTCTGGAAAGAGTCTATTGTGAAGGTAAGAAATTGAGGGAAAACAGCAAAGTTGCTAACTTTGCAGTGAAAAACAATCTGTGTCCTAGACAGGTTACACTTTCATATTTTTATGCAGCGTAAAGTTAGCTATGTTATGGGGAACTTAGTTTTATTCTTACTCATGCATGATGTATGTTTCAGAACTTAAGAGCTGACATTTCAAAGAACTTCTTACATTACCTGTTTAACATACTGATGTGCAACTGGAACATATTACATTGGTATTACTCATTATTTGCCACTGTGGGCTAAGTTTACCATATTGGTCTTAGTTATAAAAGGTCACATTTGAAATTACTACGTTAAAGTTAGAACTAATAAGGGAGGGGGGAAGGCCTTAAATATAAAAGACAAACGGCAGTTTGATTAAGCAATAATTTTCAGTTTACTAGATGAAACAGACTTGCAACATAGTCTGCATGAATGCAAAATAAGCCATCTACAGCAAGTGATAAGGAAACTGGGCAAAAAGGAAAAAAGCATACATTGGAAAAAAAATTTCTCTCAAAATAAAAAAATCAAACCATTATTATAAAGGACTTTACCAAGAACTGCTGTATTTCCCCAACCCCATTTGCTGGAAGTCAACAAGAGCATCTAGCACTGTGTTCATGTCAAATGTCAGATCAGAGCATCCTAACGCAAAGCCAAAAAAAAGGGGGAGGGAGTGGGGAGAGAAAAAAGGAAAGAAGAAAACCCCAACCCCCCTCCCCCACCAAAACGTAGAAGTTAACTCCAGAGTTCAAATTCAAAAGAAGAGAAAGTGGCAACTGAAAGAGGTGATGACGGTGGAGATAATCCTATGAATGGGTTTTTGATTTCTCTCCTTCTGGGGGATGGCTGGAGAATGCTCATTAGGATTTGTAGTTAGAGGTTAACCATGTGAGCCCCTCATAGAGTCCGTCCCCCGAGGTAGCACAGGAGGGCTGCACATACCAGTTCCTGTCCCGAATCCGGGTCAGGCCCAGTTTCTCCTGGATCTCGTGGGGTTTCATGGCATCGGGCAGGTCCTGCTTGTTGGCGAAGATGAGGATTATGGCGTCCCTCATCTCCCGGTCATTGATAATGCGGTGCAGCTCCTGGCGGGCCTCGTCAATGCGGTCGCGGTCGGCGCAGTCCACTACGAAGATCAGACCCTGGGTCCCGGTGTAGTAATGCCGCCAGAGCGGCCGAATCTTGTCCTGGCCACCCACATCCCATACGTTGAACTTGACGTTTTTGTAAGTCACCGTCTCCACGTTGAACCCCACGGTGGGGATGGTGGTCACCGACTGGCCCAGCTTCAACTTGTACAGGATGGTCGTCTTGCCGGCCGCGTCCAGGCCCAACATGAGGATCCGCATTTCCTTGTTCCCGAAGATTTTAGACAGCACCTTCCCCATCGCGTCGGAAGAGCCGGGGCCGGGGGCATTCAGGTGTCCCGGGTCCCCTCTGCCAACAACGCCGCCGCGGCCGCCGCGAAACTGAAACGAAGCCTGGTCGCCGCGAGGGCGCCCGTGCGGCCTGCGAGGAAGTTGCCTGCTAGGGGCGGAGGCCCGCGCCCGCCGCTCACCGGGACATCACCGGCCGCGCCTCTCGCAGCCTCCCGCCGCCGCCGCCGCCGCCGCCGCCCGGGCCCCTGAGCCGCGCTGGGAGAGCCGCCGCCCTGCTGAGGCGCGGCCCGGCCCGGAACTGCCCTTCCCCCCGCAGGCGCCGCGCGAGCGCCGCCGCCGTCCCCGCTGCTCCGCCGGCTTCTCACCCCTCCGCGGGAGACTGCAGTCCTCCGGCCGGCCCGTCCGCCAGTCCGCAAGCCCCGGGCTCACCACCGACCCAAGCCACCCAGAAGGAGCGCGACTCCGGCGCTCCGTCAGGTCATTGATCCTCGGAGGAACTCGATGCGCCGCCTGCAGAAACACAGAGAGGGAGAAGGGAGTTACCGCTCGAGGTCCAGAGGGGAGCGGAGGCCGAAGCAACCTGCTTTGCCAGCTCGGCCCGCGTCGGGGGTTACCTCTAGCCGCCGCCCCGAGCGCGGGCTCCTCCGGCCTCCGACCTCCTCCTCCCAGCTCTGCCGCCGCCGCTGCCGGAAAAGGCGCCGAGGAAACCGCCTCACTTCCCCTCCCAACCACGCATGCGCAGCAGAGGCCGACCGTTCGGACCAGCGCGACCTCTGGAAGGAGAGTAGCCCGCGCGCCTAGCGTCACGGGCGCCACGCGCCGAGGGGGCGGGGCTACGGCGACTCGGAGGGCATGTGGGCCTCGCGCTCGCGCCAGCGCCCACCTGTCGCGCTTCCAGGGTTTTCTTCCCAGATTGTCACCCGTTTCCCCTCTTCACCCGATTCAGGAGGACAAAACGCACTGGGCGGAGGGGGCTCTCCCGGGTGGGGTCGGCTGGCAGCCCGCTCTTACAGCAAACGCCCCCACCGAGCAGTTTCCAGGCCTACTCTCGGAACTCCGGGCCCGACTTCCCATCACCCCGCCCCGGCCTTCGCGCCCCCTTGGCCTCGCAGCGAAACTCGGTTCGCTGTTTTCTTTTCACCAGCCCTTTCTTGGCTTTCTTTATCCCGTGAGTTCTGTGTGCTTCCTGGAAGACACGTGGGAGGCTGGTGCGCCATGCGGAATCCGCCAGTCAGCAGCCAGCGCTTCTGCGAAGTTGGGCTGGGCTTTGCCCGGCTCCGGGCGTCTCGGCACAACCGACCCACGTTTCTTCAGTGTGTTACGTAGAGTTCCCGAACTGTACCCAACTTAAAAAAAATGCGATGGCTTTTCATGTTTAAATGTCACCTTGTGTAGCTTAATTAATAGTTGCTTCTCACCGACCCTCCCTGTCTTAGCCTTATGAATCTTAACGTACATGGCTAGGACAAAAATGTACCCAGATAATGGGTCCCAACATTAACTTTCAGAAAGATTGTTTTCTGGCCCTTGAAGATAAAAGGCACAAGCCTCATTCTTTATACTATCTCAGCGTTGAAAAATACGAGAGAATCTTTAAAATGTATTGCTCTAAATGTTGATTTAAGAATTGGAAAACTTGTGATAGTGACTTATGTAATGTTAAAATGTTTTCCACAAAAAAGATAGTTTATATGCGAACCCAGTTAAAAAAAAAATCTTAGTATAGGATTTAGAATCAGACTATTTCTATAGCCTGGAATTGGTCATTTAACTTGCCCAGTTGATCTTCCGTGTAAACTGACTGATTACTCCACCTCCACCTGTTTGTGGAAGACTTCAGGAAATCTTTTGTGTCGAGGGGATGTTGAGACAGTTAGACTTAAGGTTAAAAGAAGGTGACATGCACATGCTATTTTCTTCAGTCTGGGGGTTTGACACAGTGACGTTTTCCTACAGTGGCATAACTTAGAGTACCTGGATACCTAGATATCTGGAGTGGCTCATCAAATAATAAAGTAACTGATTATTTTAACTAATAACCATAGCACAAAACAAGTAACAATGGCCAGAAAACAAACACAGATAGTTTAAAAAAATTAAATTTGTTCATCATGCCAGTAAAAAAAAAAAAGCGAATTTTAACAAATCAAAGCATCTATAAAAGACTACTAAGTCATACCATATATGAAACACTCATTTTCTTGATTCCTTCTGGAAGCAACTTTTTTTTTTTTTTTGGTAGTACTGGAATTTTGAACTCAAGGCTTCACACTTGCTAGGTAGGCTCTACTGCTTTGAGCCACCCCACCAGTCCTGTTTTGTGTTGGGTATTTTTGAGATAGTGCCTGGCTGGCTTTGAACTGCAATCCTCCTATTCTCTGCCTCCTGAATAGCAAGGATTACAGGCATGAGCCAGGCAGCAGCAACAATTTTTTAAATTTTTTTGGCAGCACTGGGATTTGAACTCAGGGTCTCACGCTTGCTAGGCAGGCGTTCTACCGCTTGAGTCACTCTGCCAACCTAGCAACAATTTATTAAAAAAGTAAGTGAAAGCTCAAAAACTAACCATAGAAAAATACCTGTTTTTTCACGTAAAAGAGACTTCCTTTTGTGTGTGTGTTGGGGGAGGGGAGGATGGAACCCATGCCCTGGGTATGCTAGAGTGCTCTACCACTGACCTGTATCTCCAGTCCTTGGATTTTTGACACACCAACTTAGCATGTAGCACAAGCCCAGGCTGGCCTGGAACTCTTGCCCCAGCCTCTTGAGTGCTCAAACTATAGACGTGCACCACCACACCTGCTTTCATTTACAAACTATTTTAGGGCTGGGGCTGTGGTTCAAGTGGTAATAGTACCTACCTAGCAAGCACGAAGCCCTGAGTTAACACCCCAGTACCAACAAAAAGAAATAAAAGAAAAAAAAATTGACTTGTAAAAAAATGGCTTAGGCTTTATTTTTAAAATAAAATTAATGTCTTTCTTAACAGTACCCACACTGTTTACTTCTATTTCTGAGTTCCTATAGCTCTTAACAATCTATTCATTCTGCATGACCCAACCCTGACATTTATTTCTTTAAATTTATTCCATCCAGTAACAATTCTGATGGTATGGCAAGGGTGGTCTGACCACATCCTCATATGATGATTTCATCCCATTTATCATTTTGATTCCTTAGGTCAGACTTACCCACCCCTGTCTAGTTTAAAGAACACATACCACCCAGGAAATCTAGAAGTCTTTAAAGAAATAGTAAGATGGTGGTTTTGGCAGGGTGCCATCAGCACCCTTCAAGGACCTACTTTCTAATTCTCTTTAACTATTAAAAAAAAAAAAGTCTATCCAATTGAAAACCTTGATTAATTACTTTGGTTACACCTGCAAACAAACACAGCAATATTAAAGGTGAGAATGAGGACTGGGGGCATGGCTCAAGTGGTAGGGCCTTGCCTGGCAAGTGCAAGTTCAAATACTAGTACCACCAAAACAAAATTAATGAGAATGATAGATCTAAAAACAAAAATTTGGCCTGGGGATGTAGCTCAGTGGTTAAGTGTTTGCCTAGCATGCACAAGGCCCTGCATTCAATCCCCAGTACTATACAATAAATAAATGAATAAATAAATAAAAACAAAAGTTTGAATTGAAGTTGATGTTTCACAGGTTGTTTAATAATTACAGCATTCAGACAACACTGAGGCAACATGAAAAATGAGCGGGAAGACCAGCACTTCTTAGCTTATTAAGGTATAACTGGGCTAAGTTATTCATCCTCACTTATCAATTTCTCCGTTCCTTTAAGGAGAAAATCTTGGGCTGGAGGTATGGCTTAAGTGGTAGAGTGCCTGCCTAGCAAGCATGAGGCCCTGAGTTCAAACCTCAGTACTGCCAAAAAAAAAAAGGAGAAAATCTCTCCAATGATTAGGGTGAGACATTATTTTTCCCCTTTACACTTGAAGGAGCTGAGGCCCGTAAAGGATAAGCAAGCTTCTTAAGAACAATAAACGGTACAGAGCAGATTCAAATTAAGATTTACTTATTCACAGAGTCCCATGCCAGAGAAAACTGTGTCTCTGAACCATTCTTTGGCCTCTCTCTGCCTATATACTGCTGACATTGCAGTGAGTTGCACAGCGGAGAGAAAAATAAATTTCTTTCTTTCTCCTTCTTTCCAAATAGATAGATAGGCCGGGTCTCCCTATATAGCCCAGGCTGGCCTCAAACTTGAAATTCTCCTGCTTCAGCCTCCTGAGTGCTGGGAAAATTAAGAATTTTTTAAAATTCAAATCTGGTGTTCTTTTTCCTACTGAACTGAGAAAGCTGGACTAGATTAGTGGTTTTCAGTCCGGATTGCGTATTAAAATAATCTGGGAAACTGTGGATTTGTTGTTGTTGTTGTTTGGCAGTTCTGGGGTTTGAACTCAGGGCCTTGCTTGAGCCAGTCCTCTGGCTATATGGGGAATTTTTAAACCATACAAAATGGGACACATCCAGGACTGGCAGAGTGGCTCAAGAGTTAAAAATGCCTGCCTAGCAACCATGAAGCCCTGAGTTCAAACTCCAGTGTCACTTAAAAAAAAAAAAGATTATTTGCCGGGCACTGGTGGCTCACACCTGTAATCCCAGCTACTCAGGAGGCAGACATCAGGAGGATTGCAGTTCGAAGCTAGCTCAGGCAAGTAAGTTCTCGAGACCCTATCTCAAAAATACCTAACACAAAAAGGGCTGGTGGACTGGCTCAAAGTGTAGGCCTTGAGTTCAAACCCCAGCACTGCCAAAAAAAAAAAAAAATGGGACACATCCGAACTCAAGACAAAATATCTGGGGAAGGGCTTACCCACACCAGATACTCTGGAAGTAACCAGGTTTTTTTGTTTTTGTTTTTGTTTTTGTTCTTTCTGAGAGAAGGTCTTACCTATGTAGCCCAGGCTGGTATCAAATTCACAATCCTCTTGGCCCCACCTCCCGAGTGCTGGTATTACAGATGTATGCCACTGTGCCTGGCTCTGTCCACCAATTTTTGTTTGTGTGTGGTGGTACTGGGGATTGAACTCAGTGCCTCACACTTGCTAAACAGGTGCTCTATCACTTGAGCCACTCCACCAGCCCCCACCAATATTTTTAAGGTGTCTGAGTGATCCTAATGTGCAGCTAAGATTGAGAGCCACTGAACTAATTGCTAAGTTCCTTTCACATTCAGTTTCTATGAATTCTGAGTTCTATGTATTTGTTATCCCTCATCCTCAAGATATATACCTCCACATATATATTTTAACATTTTTATTAGCATATATTAGTTGTACATGAGGAAGGTTCATTGTCACATTTGCATATATGTTTACAATGTACTTTGGTTACATTCATCCCCTCCATCATTCTCCCTCACCCCTACTTAAAATAATTTCAAAACGTTTCATTGTTTTATCTTCATAGAAATTTATAAAGTACATGGAGGAACTAAAGGTGTGGTTCAAGTGGTAGAGCACCTGCTTTGCAAGTGCAAAGTTCAAACCCCAGGCCCACAAAAAATAAATATATAAAGTGCATGACCTTATTCTCCCTCCTTCACCCTCTCCATTTACCCTCCCACTAACACCCAACGCCTAACAGGACTTCTTTACATTCCAATCTTACTTCTTTTTTTTCTTTTTTTTTTTTTTTTTTGGTGTTGATGGTACTGGGGTTTGAACTCAGGACCTACATGCTTGCTAGGCAGGTGCTCTATCACTTGAGCCATGCCTCCTCCATCCCTATGCTATTCTCCTTTTTTAAATACCTCTTCTGTTTTTGGTTTTTGTTTTTGTTTCTTTTAGTGGTACTAGTATTTGAATTCAGGGCCTCATGCTTGCTTGCAAGTGCTCTGCCACTTGAACTACTCTGCCAGTCCCCAATCTCGTTTTTCAAGTGTATATTCGTTGTTCAAAGGGGTTTCACCATGGTCTTTCACCCATGAATATATTGTACTTTAATCAGTCTAATCCCCTCTATTACTTTCCTTTCCCCTCCCCCCACCCCTATTAGCCAACAGCTTTTAGCGTGTTTCTTTATGCTAGCTTCCTACACAGATGAAATTTATTTTGATATTACTCATTTTCTATCATTCTCTTTTTGTCTTCTTCCTCTCCCTAGTCCTCTC